GTGAGGTGCCCTCTGGAAGGGGAGAGGGTGACCCCGTGTCAGCCAGGTGGCCTGCTGTGCCGGGCACAGGACATCGGGGGCATTTTACTGCCCCAAGGTCCTGAGCCTCTCGCAGCCAAAGACGCGCTCACTCTTCTCAGCTGGCTCCCCGTGCGGGGCATCAGGATGTGTTGTTACTGCCCCCTGTTGTACCTAAGCACGGACACAGGTTAGGGCCCGAGGGGCAGGAATCACAGCGTGCACTCTAGTGGCTACCGAGTCCGTGTCCATCTCCACGGGCTGCAGGTGTCACCAGGGCAGGGTGTTCTGTGCACTGTCATTTCCCCGGAACCTGCCCGGCACACGGCACATGGAGGGCTCTGCACAGCGTGTGCTGAGTGAGCGGAGGGATTGGCACTAGAAGGACGAGGAGCCGGGGCAACGAGGGGGCTCTGAGGTCACGCACCGTTTTCCCAGAGTGGCACCCGTCGTTTCTTCTTCTTAATATATATATATATATATATATATATATATATATATATATATATATATATTTTTTTTTTTTTTTTTTTTTTTTTTACAGAGAGGAAGGGAGAGGGATAGAGAGCTAGAAATATCTATGAGAAACATCAATCACCTGCCTCATGCACACCCCCTCATGGGGATGTGCCCGCAACCAAGGTACATGCCCTTGACCAGAATCGAACCTGGGACCTTCCAGTCTGCAGGCCAACGCTCTATCCACTGAGCCACACTGGTTAGGGTCCCCGTCGCTTGTTGACAGCGCTGCCTGTGCTGTTCCAAGGCTGGTGAGCTCAGCCTGTGGGGCGCAGTGAGCCCCGGGTGGGAACAGGCGGCGGACCAGGGGAGGGTCCCCGGGGGAGGCCCCGAGCAGGGCGCCTGCAGCCCCCAGGAGAGCGCAGGGCTGCGGGGAACGCGGCTTGGCCTCGAGGAGCCCCCGGGGCTGCTGGGCCGTGGACAGGGGAGCATGTTCTGCCGTCGCCACCAGACGCGGGACTCATCCCGCCAGGCAGGCCTGCCCGCCTCGCCTCTGCCCGGCCTCCACCTCCTCGCTCCCTGGCACCGGGCACAGCGTGCTGCCCTGCCCCGGAGACTTCAGCCCGATTCATAAATTCCTTCCTCGTCGGGCACAGGAACGAGGAGACGCTATCAATAATGCAGGGGCTGCTTAATGCCCTGCTAGGAGCCGGCCTGAGAACAGTCCTTGGTGACACTGCCCCCTGCCACCGCGCTGGGCGCCGTGCCCAGGACGCCGGGAGATAAATCAATCAGAGCGTGAGTGTCCGGAGCCGGGCCCCGGCGGGGTCACAGAGGCCGGAGCCGGAGCCACCTTGGCAGGGAGGCCCGGGCTCCAGCTGGGGGAGCAGAGGAGCTCGGGTGCCAGCTGCCTGTGCCCCCTTCCTTCCCCACTAGCCCAGCGGACCTTTCCAGCCGAGCCCTAGTGTCACCTCCTTCTCCCTCAGGCTTGCTGGGTGCTCGGGGTGATGGGTGGTCAAGGTGATGGGTGCTCAGGGTGATGGTGCTCAGGGTAATGGGTGCTCAGGGTGATGGTGCTCAGGGTAACTGGGTGCTCAAGGTGATGGGTGCTCAGGGTGATGGTGCTCGGGGTGATGGGTGCTAGGGTGATGGTGCTCAGGGTGATGGGGTGCTCGGGGTGATGGATGCTCAGAGTGATGGTGCTCGGGGTGATGGTGCTCGGGGTGATGGGTGTTCAGGGTGATGATGCTCAGGGTGACGGGTGTTCAGGGTGATGGTGCTTGGGGTGGCGGGTGCTCAGAGTGACAGGTGCTCATGTGACGGGTGCTCGGGGTGATCGGTGCTCAGGGTGACGGGTGCTCAGGGTGACGGGTGCTCAGGGTGATGGGTGTTCAGGGTGATGGTGTTAAGGGTGATGGGTGTTCAGGCTGATGGTGCTCGGGGTGGCGGGTGCTCAGGGTGACAGGTGCTCAGGTGACGGGTGCTCGGGGTGATGGTGCTCAGGTGGCGGGTGCTCAGGGTTATGGTGCTCAGGGAGATGGTGCTCAGGTAGCGGATGGTCGGGGTAATGGGTGCTCAGGTTGATGGATGTTCAGGGTGATGGGTGTTCAGGGTGACGGTGCTCAGGGTGACGGTGCTCAGGGTAACTGGGTGCTCAGGGTGATGGGTGCTCAGGGTGATGGGTGCTCAGGTGGCGGGTGCTCAGGGTGATGGGTGCTCAGGGTAACGGTGCTCAGGGTGATGGATGCTCAGGTGGCGGGTGCTCAGGGTGATGGGTGCTCAGGGTAACGGTGCTCAGGGTGATGGGTGCTCAGGTGGCGAATGCTCGGGGTGATGGGTGCTCAGCAAGGGCTGAGGTGTCTGCGGGAGCTCTCTGGCCAGCCTGTCCATCCCGCACCTGCCCATGCAGGAGGCTCTGACGCTTTCCCGCTCACCGCGGGGGGACTGAGATGAACGCTGAACGATGAGATGGTTTCAGAGGGTCAGAATCTGGGCTTTAACTGCAGGTCCTGATTCAGAGCCGGTGTGGGTAACACTGTGCTGAGCTGGGAGGCACCCCAGGGAGGAGGGGGTGACCGTGATAACTGGGGGAACCTGCACAGGCCTGGGAGAGGGGGCGGGGCAGTGAGAAAGGGGGGGGGCAGAGAGCGCAGCCAGGGGCTTGGCCTCTGGGAGCCGGAGCGGGGCATGCCCGCCGGCTGGGGCCTGAGCCTGAGAGGAAGGGGCGGGGAGGACCTCGCTCACTGACGGGCTTCCTGACCGGGTGGCTGTGAGGGATGCTCACACCCGCCCGGGAACTGCCCCGGGTAGGGGCCGAGGGAAGGCGGAGGGCAGGGGGTGTCTGGGCCAGTGGTACTGCGGGGGAGGGAGGGGGTAGGGCCCTGGGCGTCTCTCCCTGTGAAGCCAACAGGGTGCCCGCTGGCTGGCCTTGCAGTCCGGCCCTCTGGACCCAGGACAGTCGTGGGGCACACTCAGGGCTGCCTCTGGCAGAGCCCCTCGCCGGAGACGGGCCAAGGCCCTCGCACTTCCACAGGCAACACTTTCCACCCGCCCTGGCCGGGCTCAGCCCCCACAGCCCGCAGCCCCTGCAGCCCCCTCAGCCCCGCTGACCGGCCAGGGGGGCTCCCGCGCCACGTCCACCGGGACCGTGGGCAAGAGGCAGGTGGCCCCCAGAGCAGGCCACGCATATCCTGCCTCCCCGTACACCGCTCTCCCGAGCCCTGGCTGAAGGCCAGGGACCCCCCCTTAGACGGCAGTGTCCAACCTGCTTTCCTTCCTGCAGGGTGGAGAGGGGGTGCCCCTTGCTTTAGGAAAAGGCAGGCACCTCTCTCCACCCCCCCCACCCCCCCCCCCCCGGTGCGCTGCCCCCTCTTTCTGCTCAGGCGGGCAGGGAGTCCGTGCCTTCAGCCACCGCTACTGGGCAGCAAGGGTTCCTCCTGTGGGCACCCTGGCCTGGGGGGGGGGGCGTCAGGAAGACGTAAGGAGGAGGGGGTGGGGGTCTCAGTGCTGCACCCAGACTCCCGTGGGCAGAGCAGAGGTGCAGCCCGCCCCCACGCTGAGGGGGGGCTGCCCAGTTTTCACCTGGCCAATCCCAAAGGGGACTCTGTCTCCCTGGAGGGGCCTCGCTCCATCCCGTGCCGCGTCTGCTCTGTGCCTGTGGCTTTAACGCCCCCACGGAGCTGGCCCCCGGGGAGGGAGAGGCCCTGGCACCGGCCTCCTCCAGGGTGCCCGGTGCCGTGAATGGACAGCAGGGCCTCCTCCAGGGTGCCCGGTGCCGTGAATGGACAGCAGGGCCGCAGTGGGCCCTTGTGCTGGGAGACAATGGGCGCTGTGTGGGGGTGGGGCGGGAGGGAGGAGGCTGAGGGCCCTGCCCCCAACACTGCCACCACCTCCTCCTCCTTCTCCTCGTGGACTGGGCTGGGGACCCGAGGCAGTCACAGGGGGCGCTCAGCTCCTGGGGGAACCTCCGAGAACCCTTGTCCTTGTACCTGGAGGCAGTACAGGGGGCAAAGCGGAGAGATGGGGGCCCAGGGTCCCCCCTCCTCCGAGCCTCGGAGTCCTCCTTTGTCCGAGGGGTCTGGGAAACCGCCTCTGCGCCCAGGGCTCCAGCGGAGCGCCCGGCCCCGCAGGGTCTCAGGCGGCCCCGCTGGGAAGTGCTCCCCACACTCCAGCGCCCTGTCAGCGCCACGTGCCCTGGGGCCCGAGTGGGCGCGCGGCCGAGGGAAGGGGGGGACAGGTTCACCTCGTGGGCTGAGTAGTGACCAGGGGGGCCCTGCAGCCCCCGGTGTCAGATGCTTTGTCAGTGACAGACTCGGCGCCCCGTGCACGCTGAGGCCATGTGGACCAAATCCTAGCAGGGAGAGAGCTTGCCCCTCTCAAGAAATCAGCTTCAGGGCTGATGTGGATGCTCCAGCTAGTGTGGCTCAGTGGTTGAGCATCAACCTGTGAACCAGGAAGTCATGGTTCAATTCCCAGTCAGGGCAGATGCCCAGGTTGCAGGCTCGATCCCCAGTGCGGGGCATGCAGGAGGCAGCTGATCAACGATTCTCTCTCACCACTGAGGTTTCTATCTCTCTCTCCCGCTCCCTTCCTCTCTGAAATCAATAAAAATGCATCTAAAGAAAAGAACGGATGTTGACCAGCCTCCCTTTCTCTCCTTCCTCCCAGGGTCCCCGTGAGCCCTGCCTCCCGCCCCCACCCTCGGAGGAAGTGGATTTAATGCCTCCACCGAGAGAAGGAGATGTTCTGTTATTTTTCATGGGAAATTAGACCTGACCCTGCTGTCAGTTAGCTCATGCCCGGAGGATGGATGGCCCGGGGCGTTACCCCTGCTGGGATAAGGCAGCCTGGCTGGGGGCCAGCGATGATGTCACCTGCTCCGGAGTGGGGGTGGGGTTGGGGGCAGGACAGGTCAGAGAGCCTCATCTGGGTGATGGATGGCAGCGAGGCCCCCCGGGTGTCGCCGTGATGGCGGCCAGGCCCTGCTCATCCGGGGAGACTCAGGCTGCCCCCGTCTCTTTCAGCTCCCAGCTCCACCGCGTGCCCCGCCGAGGAGACCTGGTGGTCCGGGCTGGTGATCGTCATCGCCGTGGGCTGTGCCTCCCTGCTGTTCCTCACTGTGCTGGTGGTCATTTGTTACAAAGCCTTCAAGCGGTGAGTGTCCACCGGCCCGGGCCTGAGGGCGCCCCAGCGGGAGTTTGCTGGGGGCTGGGCCCAGGGGACCCAGCCTCACGAGGGGCAGGCCATGTCCGGGCATCTGCCTCCCAGCCAGACCCCCCTTCCGTCCCCAACACTCATGCTGCAAGGCACTCCCCCCGCCCCCAAATCAATAAATAGATAAAATAACAAGGCTGTAACCTCAGCCAAGCACTGGCTCATCTTCACCAACAGTCTCTCGGGCCACCTCACAGCATCTTTCCCCAGCCCGTCCATTTTACAGAGGAGGAGACTGAGGCCCAGGGGTGTTAAGGGAACTGCCCAGGGCGGTACAACCCGGGAGCCGAGGAGTCAGGCTTTGCTCCCAGCACCACGTGATTTCCAAGGCAGCCCTGCCCGCAGCTCCGTGTCAGTGTTACTGTTGAGTTCCACTCTGGTGTTGGGCTGAGAACAGATCTTGCTCTCCCTGTCTGTCCTTCCTCCAGGGGGGGCCGGAGAAGGGGTATGGTCTGTGCCTTCTGAAGCCAGAAAACTGGTGGACAGAAAGGCCCTGAGACCCTGTAATTCAGGGCCAGGCCAGGCCTCAGAAATCAAGGTGGAGGCGTTGGAGTCTCCCAGGGATGAGTCAGCCCGATTCCCAGTGTCTGTGGCGCCTGCTGTATGCACAGGCTGTGTAGGTACAGAGACAGAGAAGGCAGGGCTGGGCCCACGGGCGGATGCAGGAATGTTTGTTAGGAGGCGGGTGGGATGGTCCCTGCAGCCTGTTGTGGGCCCGAGGGAGTCGGTTAACTCTGATCAGGGTGATAGCACATCTGGGCTGAGAGCCCACCAACCTGGGATGAGGACTGCCAGTAGCAGACAGGGGAGGCGCTCCGGGCAGAGGCACCGTGTGAGCAGAAGAACAGGCACCAGGAAGCCCCTGGGACACGGGATGGGAGGCGCTGGTCCCACCAGACTGGGCACCTTGCCCGGAACTTGGTGGGCGCTGGGAGCTATCAAAAGGTCTTGAGGAATTGTGTGCAAGATCCCCCCGGGGCACTGCCAGGGGTGGGGCCCTCGCTCCATCAGAGACCCGTTCCCAGGCCCCTGGCCCTCGGAGACAGACAGCAGCACCTTATTAAAAAGCCCAGCTCTTCCAGACGTCACAGTCACGGACTCGCTGTCTGCCCCAAACGTCGGAGGAGACGTGCTGCTTCCAGGGGAGAGGGTGAGGCGGACAAACTCACATTAACATCTGACTGGCAGTGCCAGGCAGCGGCAGCATGCAGGCTGTGCTTCAGCAGGGCCGGGTCTCCCAGGAAGGCCTGTGGGGGCGCCACCCTTCCCCCCAGGACAGCTAGACAGGCCTCCTGTCACTCTGCCTTACTCTGCGGGCTCTGAGCTCTTGGTTCCAGGGTCTGTTAGCGGCTGGAAAGACAAGGAGCCCACCCAGAGGATCCCTTCCAGGGGCTTCCTCCAGATGAGGTGGGCGGGGCTTCCTCCAGATGAGGTGGGCGGGGCTTCCTCCAGATGAGGTGGGCGGGGCTCGAAGATCCTTGGATCTTCGAGCCGCCCTGAGAGCTAACACACTTACAGAGACCTACTGTGTGCCAGCGGCTCCTCCTGGAGCGTAACCACATTAACGTGTTCATCCTCCCAGCGAGCCTACGAAGCGCACACATCCCGGTGCCCGTTTCATAGGCCAGGAAACTGAGGCCTAAAGAGGTTCAGTGACTTGCCCATGGAAGGACACATGGGGGGGGGGGGTCGAGGCAGGGCCTCCTGCTGCTGCAGGAACAACTCCAGCGTCCACGGGGCTCCAGGGAGGCCCGGAAAGCCTTCGGGAGGGGACGGGGCAGAGCGGGGAGCAGAGTGGCTGCCGCTGAGGAGGGAGCAGACCCAGCCCGCTTCTCCGAGGGCCCCGGGCAGCCGCTCTCTCCTTCGTGTGCTCAGCTCCTGGACGCCCCTGGGGGTGGGGTGGGAGCAGAGGGGGGCTGCACCAGCCAGAGGCGCCCTTTTTTCTGTTCAACTAGAGCAGTGGTCGGCAAACTCGTGAGTCCACAGACCCAAATATCAACAGGACGACGATTGACATTTCCTTTGAGAGCCAAATCTTTTAAACTCAAACTTCTTCTAACACCACTTCTTCAGCATAGACTCGCCCAGGCCGTGGTGTTTTGTGGAAGAGCCACACTCAAGGGGCCAAAGAACCACCTGTGGCTCTCGAGCTGCAGTTTGCCGACCACGGTGCTAGGGTAAAGCAAAACGAGACGGGCTTCTTGGAGGCCTCGGAGAACTTCTGGAACCTTCAGGAGGAGGGGAGGAGGCCTTCCCACGCTGACTGGACGCAGAGCGGGGGCAGGGTGTGTGTGTGTGTGTGTGTGTGTGTGTGTGTGTGTGTGTGTGTGTAATACCTGCTGGGAATGCTGGTTGAACAGAAACAGAAACGCAGCTGGACCAGGATTTGGTGGGAGTGGGCGGTGGTCCAGGGCCACCATAAACCAGCCGCGGGACCTTGGGCAAGTCACAGCTTCAGTTTCCCCACGAACTGAAACCTAACCCCAGGCCTTCTTCTCCCGGGCTCATTGTGGAAGGGACCAGGAGAGCTGGGAGCGCTCGGAAAAAAACGTGACCCCGTGGGGGGGGGGGGTGTCAGCTAGCACCTCCTTTTTCGAGGAGACCACGATAGCCGGGCCCGGGCCCAGCCTGTGTGCACTCAGGCTTCCTGTGTGTTTAGGGAGCTGGTTCTGCTGCAGAAAAGGAAGCTGGCAAACTTGACCTTGGGGAGTTCTCTGAACTGGCCTACTAACCCTGCCCCGCGATAGCCACCTCCCAGACCCTCTCCCGGACAAGCCTGTGGCCCTCACACTGGTCCCCAAGGGAGCGCCCCCCTCAGGCGAGGTGTGGGGAGGCTCGGGGACGGTGGAGAAGGTGGAGAAGATGGAGAAGGAGGAGAAGGTGAAGCTGGCATGCCCCGGCTCTCGGCGATGCCCGCAAACATTCGCTGCAGACAGCTCACAACGGAGGCCCGTTCAGGCTTGGCCCGGCGTTACCGGGGACACAGGTGTCTGAGCCACAGCCCCATGGGCCTCCCATCCATCCACATGGCACAGGATGGGGCTGCCCCACACGGAGGGCCTAAGTCAGGAGCTATAGCCATTCGGGCGGGGACTGGGGCCAGCTGCTTCTGCGCCGCTCGAGAGGAGAGGAGACTTGAACCAGAAGGTGCTACTCTGAGTCCAGAACCTCAGCCCAGAGCCTTCTCAGTCCCCCACCCCTCCCCACGCCTCCACCCCCGGCCCCCTGCCCAAGCCCAGCAGCCCGAGGGCGCTAACCCAGCACAGCCTGGCGGCCTGGCCTAACCGTGGGGCATGCTCACGCCCAGGCATTGACAACTAACCATGTTCCCCCTCCTCCTCCCTTGCTCCCCCTGCCCCTCCGCCCGCGCCCAGGAAACCCCTGAGGAAGGAGGAGAACGGCACCAGCGTGGCGGAGTACCCCATGACGCCCTCGCAGAGCAGCAAGGCCGTGGATGCGAACAGCGCCGTGGTGTGAGGGGCCGGACCCGCGGGCCCGAGGGCGCCTCGGTGGCGCTGGTGGACGTGAGCTGACATCGCGCGCGCGTGTCCGGGACGGACTGCATTGCCTTGCCCGCCTCCAGCCTCTCGGAGGAGAAAGCATCCTCTTCCAGCCACGCCCCTGGGCCCCCAGGTTCCCCGCACCCTCCTCTTGTGTTCCAGCCGCTGTCTCCCAGCTCCCGTCTAACGCACGCGCTCTGTCGAAGGCAGAGGGTCTGTCTGTCTGTCTGTCTGTCTGTCCGCTGTGTGGGGGAGGCGTCTCCCTTTAGCCCAAAGAAAGGCAGTCCCGGGGCCAAGTCCCTGCCAGGAAACCTTGCCTCGCCCCCCGGAAGCCCGCCCGCCCGCTGCTCCGGTGACTGTGCCCTTCCCCACCGAAGCCATCGGCACAGCCGGGAGCCGTCCCCTCTCTAAGGTGCTTCCCACACACCTGTCTGCCGCCCCCTGCCGTCATCTTCAGTCTGTAGGGCCTGCCTTCTCTCCGGTCCCCGCCCGCACCCTGGCTCCGGGCCCTGCCTGACTGCCCGGTCCCTGCAGAGTCCCCTCCCTGGGAACGGATGCATCCCTGGGGGCCAGGCCCTGCCTCCCCATGGCTGGGGCCACCTTCGAGCCAAACCCACCGCAGGTGTCTGGGCTGGGCTGAGCGGCCTGGCTCCTGGTCTCCCCGATGCTTCCTTCCTCCCTGCAGCCCCGACCGGGGACTTGGACCCTCTCCCGAGAGCCTCGGGCTTCCCCGCATCCAGGAGAGGACGTGCCTGCAGAGGTTCCCCTGAGTGTCCCTTTCCGAGGCCTCAGGCTCTGAAAGTGCCATGCCCTCCGCAGCGGTTGGGGGGTGACAGGGAGGAAAAAAGGGGTGACAGGTGAGGGACCCTGCAGGCCTGTTGCCCAGGAGGCCACCCAGCCCTGCGGGCCCATCACAAGGCCTGGAGACAGTGGCCCTGAGGGTGTGCATCCCCTGGTGAGTCAGGAGGGCGCCCCTGACCGTGGTCCCACACCCTGGCTAGGAAGAAACCAGACGCAGTAAATGACCCCGCGGTCTGGACCCAGGTGGACTCAGTCTGCCTCCCAAACCACCCGTGGCTCCGTGGAGGGTTTGAGGCTGCAGGCTGGAGGTGAGACGGACAGACTGGAAGCCAGTCCCCACTGGGGTGAACCCGGACACCCCATTGTCTGAGCCCTGTGCCCATTGAGTTGTCTGTTCCGCTGTCTTTCAGAGAGCAGAGGGCAGGGGTGAGTGTGCTCTGACCCTGTCCCTGACCCTGACCTTGACCCTGACCCTGTCCTGCTCCAGGCCAGAGGGGACGGGCTGAGGACAGGCCAGGGATACCCTCCAGAAAGGGTGGTTTCTTCCCCGTGTCCCTTCTGTGTGAGGACTGGTTCGGGGTTTGAGTTGGTTCTGTTTTCCCTGCACACCCCTGCATGGCACGGTGCCACCGCGGCCTTCCTTCTTGCCCCGGCCCGGTGAGCACTTCCCGGTTCTCCTGCTTGGTGCCATCACTTCCCCGGGGATGCACCCCTGGGTGACAGGCCAGAGGATGCGGGTCCTCACAGGGCAGACCCCACGCCAGCGCACTCCCCCCCCCCCCCCCTGCACCGGCCCCGCCTGAGTCCCCTGCCTGGTCCCTGAGCAGATGGCCGGCAGGACCCCGGCCCTGAGCAGGTGCCTCCCTGAGCTCAGAAGTGATGGCACCTTTGGCCAGAGCAGGGATCCTGGCTAAGGGGTCATGGAGAAGATCAAGGGGGGCAGGCAGATGCACTGACCCCAGCTCCCCTGACCTTGACTTACACCTAAGAAGCCAGATCTTGTGATCAGCCTCACCCGCTGAGCCCCTGCGAACCATCCCCAGGCTCTGGGGCCCGGGTCTCCCTCCCGGAGCTCTGAAAAGCTAACCTTGGAGAGTGAACTCCCCCAAGTTGGGTTTGTAACGTCTCTTCCCTGGGGTGTGCAGGGAAACCAAGAGTAGAGCTTTTTTTTTTAAAAAAAGGATTTTTTTCTGAAAATCCCCCAACCCAAGAGCCAGTCATTCCAGGTGCAGCGAGAGAGCCCCGCCAGACGTTAGCGTAGGCGACGGAAGCGCCCGCCGCACTGCACCAGCCTGGCATCGAGCTTAGAGCTTTTATGTGCGGCGCGTGCCTGCGGTCCCCAGACAGACCGCCCCCCAGCCTCCTCCAGCCGTGGAGGCCGAGAAGGAGATGCCTCCCTCTCCGCGTTTTCCCAAGCTGACCTTCCTCCGCCAGCCGCGGCGGGGCCCGGCTTCGGAACGGCACGGAGGGCCTCCCCGAGCCCTCGGGTGGCGACAGGAGCTTTTAGGTCAGGGGTGGGGGCCCTCCTTCCCGCCCAGGCCCATACGGAAATGACAACACCCTTCACAGGCCAGCCCACAGGACCACCCTGCGCACGAGCCTGCTCTGTGCGGCCAGACATCTAGTTCTCTCACCCCCGATGCCTTGGCAGGGCCACGCCGGACGGTGTTGCGGGCCTTCCTAGCTCGTGGGCGAGACGCTCCCCACCCCTGCTGTAAAGCGAGTTTTGGAAGAGCGCTGTAAAAACATTAACATATATAGTTCTATATATGTAAAGAGATTCCCATATATAAGCAGCATTACTGCACTCCAGGACCCCGTGCGGAGTGCGGCTCGCGTGGTTCCCAATGCATGAGTGTACATACTTGCCCCCGGCCCTCCTCCCGGTGCCCCCGGAGCACAGGGCAGCCGGCTCCTGGCCGCGGGCCGTCTCCGCGGGCGTGCGGGTGCCCGTCTGTCCGCCCGGGAGCCCGTGATGTCGCTCTGCGCGGAGACTTTGCACGCGAAGCAGGACGGGCAGCGTTCGGGGCAGGGGGGGGGGGAGCTGTTTGTTCATTGCGGGGAGGAGAGCATCATGCCTTTTTTATTTTCAATAAAAACGTACTTGTAAATATGGCTGTCGTGGTGGGGTATGGTGGGGACGGGAGGAGGGAACAGGCTGAGTGGGTTTGTGTTGGGGGGACCCTCCCGAGGACCTGCTGGGCACCCAGGGCCGGGCTGGATATGCGCCTGCTCACTGGTATGTGGTTTCTATCGGATACACCAAAGCCGGCATTGATGGGGATCCTCAGGCTCCAGTCCTGTCCTTCATCCCCGCCCCCGGCGCCTCTCTCCGGGACACAACCGAGAAGAAAGGGGGTGACCCACCTCCCCGTGTGCCTGGGACTTCCGCCTTGACTGGTTGGTTCAGTGGATAGAGCGCCGGCTTGCGGTCTGAAAGGTCACGGGTTCGATTCCGGGCAAGGGCATGTACCTTCGTTGCGGGCACGTCCCCAGTAGGGGGTGTGCACGAGGCGGCTGATCGATGTTTCTCATCGATGTTTCTAACTCTATCCCTCTCCCTTCCTCTCTGTGAATAATCAATAATATATATATATATATATATATATATATATATATATTTTTTTTTTTTTTTTTTAAGTGGGACTTCCAGGGTTAAAACGGGGAAGGTGCCAGGCAGGCAGGACACACCAGTCACCTTAATGGAAATCCTGAGGGACAGCCACCAGCCGGCCACGCTGAGGGGAGACGGGCGAGGCCTGTGCCCGGTTCTGCCCACCCTGGCATACGCAGGCGCGCCGTGGGTGGCAGCAGTCACTGATGTCGCTGTCACTGCTGTCATTAGTGAAGGCTGCCTGCCACCCCGCTCTGAGTGCTCCCTGCCCACCAGCCGCCCACAAGGTCCTCCCGGGGAGGTTGGTGAGGCCATGGAGGGACACCCCTCGTCTCGTACTCACTCCGGTGCACCCCGCCTGGCCGGACTCCCAGCGCAAACGCCAAGGCCGGCCGGGCACCAGGAGGGGTGGGCTGCCTTGTGTGCGAGGCAGGCACGGGGCAGCTGTCAGCACGGAGCAGGCGGGACCCTCCTCTCACCACGTCCCTCTCCACCTTGAATCTGGGGCTTTCGGCCACTTGTCCCAGCTCTGGCGCCAGCACAGCCGACAACGACAGCGCTCGTGCCCGTTCCCGGGCTGTTCACCTCTGCGCCGCCACGGAAGCGTAGGACACGCCGCACCGTGTGGACCCAGGCCTGTGGCGGAGTGACCGCCCGCCAGCGGCAGCAGCAGGGAGGCCCCCTGCGCAGGGGCTGCACTCAGTTCCAGGGGTGGCCTTGCTTGGCCTGGCCTCTGGACATGCTTCCTTGCCTGTCCTGCCAGCAACCACCCACTGGACCACCCACTCGCCCATTTCTCCCGCCCCCACCCGGCACAAAGCGCCTTTGTGCTCCCTCCTTCCTCCTCCCAGCTGTCGGAAGCACCGGGGGGCCGTCTTAGAGCACGCAGTGCCTCCTGGTGGGGCTCCCGGCTCCCCAGGATCTGCCTTTCATGGGCAGACGCCTCTCCAAGTCCCTCTCCTTCTCTCCCGCCCCCCGGATCCTATCAGACGCTCGGGACTCCCAAGGGTATACTTTAAGGTGACCAGACGTCCCGCTTTGGGCAGGACAGTCCCGATTTCTAACAATTTGTCCCGCGTCCCGCGGCGTTTTAAAAAAAGTCCCAATTTTGGGGGGAAAAATGTTGTTAAAAATTGGGACTGTCCCGCCAAAAACGGGACGTCTGGTCACCTTAGTGTACTTTCCCGTCCCAATGGCCGGCTCATCCCTGGAGTGAGTTTGTCCTGTCGGGACCCTAGACACCCCCCCCCCTCTTCAGGACCTCCCGTCCTCCCGCCTTCACCTCCACACGTGCTGCACGCTCCCCTCACAGTCACCCTTCACGGCCCTTCGCCTCAGACAACTGGCCAATAAGCCTCCCGGCAAGTCCTCCCAGCTCGTGCTCCCGAACGCAAATCCGCCTGCTGAGCTCGGCTCCCTCCACCCGATTCCCGAGCGACGGCAACCAGGGCCCCCGACCATCTTGCTTCACCCCTGCAGCCCACGGCCTCTCCCACAAAAGCCAGAGGCCGCTGACAATACATCAGACCGTCCCGGAGTCCCACACCTGCCCGCCAGCCTCC